ACGAGAGGGCTGTGCCCTGGTGGGCTCGAACCACCGACCCTTTAACTGGCAAAGCCAACGCTCGACCACTGAGCTAAGAGCCTATTGCTCTTAAGCTTGTCCAAGCGTGAACCATCGTTCATGGAACGACAGGGCTGTGCCCTGGTGGGTTCGAACCACCGACCTGTGGCTCACAAAGCCAACGCTCAACCATTGAGCTAAAAGGGTGTTGCCCTTAAGCTTGTCCAAGCGTGAACAATCGTTCATGGAACGAGAGGGTTGTGCCCTGGTGGGTTCGAGCCACCGACCTGTCGCTTGTGAAGCGAGTGTTCAACCGCTGAGCTGTTGTCGACGACTCGAATGAGTCAAGAGCATTGCTCTAAGCGGTTTGCAACTCTTGGAGTAGGCGCGGAGCGCGAGCGTAGGTCTGAGACCGCTTGAGCAGCAGATGCGCGCTGCGCTTGGAGCATTGGGCCGTGGGCTGATGACGAGAAGCTGGGCATCAACGATGCGTAGGCGTTTGTTAGCTCACGGAGCTGTACAACGCTGGTGTGAGGTGTAGTAACCTCCGCCGACTTAACAAGACGTGACCTCGCTGAGGAGAGTTTCGAGAACAGAATGTTCTCATCTTAGTGGGGGAGAGTGTAACGGGGTTACATGGTGTGGAACACACAGGGGTACGAAGTACCCGGAGAGCTAACAAACTCTCAGTACATAAGTTGGAGAGTTAACAAGGTCTCTCAGTACGTTGGCCGAAAGCCACACGTTATGCATTTGATTAGGTTTAACTATGCTAGATAGTTAAACAGATACATTTACCCCTAGGCGGCTTGGCCGCAATAATAGTAAATAAAACACTTCTGGTTTTGAAGCATAAAAGTTAAGGTGTTAACTTTGAGCCCTGGTCTTGGGCTGTAAGTGTCCTTTGGAGAAGGAACTTAGTATTAGTGACTCTTTGAGTCGAACGTCTTCCTCTGACACTAAAGCTACGGCAGCCCCGCTGCAATTTGAACCACCGACCTGTGGCTTCCGAAGCCAGCGCTCGACCACTGAGATGAAAGGGCGTTGCCCTTAAGCTTGTCCATTCAAGGACAACAGTTCATGGAACGATAGGGCTGTGCCCTGGTGGGTGCGAACCACCGACCTGTGGCTTCCAAAGCCAACGCTCGACCACTGAGCTAAAAGCGGATTGCTCTTAAGCTTGTCCAAGCGTAAACCATCGTTCATGGAACGAGAGGGCTGTGCCCTGGTGGGTTCGAACCACCGACCTGTGGCTCTCAAAGCCAACGCTCAACCATTGAGCTAAAAGCGGATTGCTCTTAAGCTTGTCCAAGCGTAAACCATCGTTCATGGAACGAGAGGGCTGTGCCCTGGTGGGTTCGAACCACCGACCTGTGGCTCTCAAAGCCAACGCTCAACCATTGAGCTAAAAGGGTGTTGCCCTTAAGCTTGTCCAAGCGTGAACAATCGTTCATGGAACGAGAGGGCTGTGCCCTGGTGGGTTCGAACCACCGACCTGTGGCTTCCAAAGCCAACGCTCGACCACTGAGCTAAAAGCGGATTGCTCTTAAGCTTGTCCAAGCGTAAACCATCGTTCATGGAACGACAGGGCTGTGCCCTGGTGGGTTCGAACCACCGACCTGTGGCTCTCAAAGCCAACGCTCAACCATTGAGCTAAAAGGGTGTTGCCTTTAAGCTTGTCCAAGCGTGAACAATCGTTCATGGAACGAGAGGGCTGTGCCCTGGTGGGTTCGAACCACCGACCTATCGCTTGTGAAGCGAGTGTTCAACCGCTGAGCTGTTGTCGACGACTCGAATGAGTCAAGAGCATTGCTCTAAGCAGTTTGCAACTCTTGGAGTAGGCGCGGAGCGCGAGCGTAGGTCTGAGACCGCTTGAGAGCAAGATGCGCGCTGCGCTTGGAACATTGTGCCGTGGGCCGACGACGAGAAGTTGGGCATCAACGATGCGTAGGCGTTTGTGAGCTCACGGAGCTGTACAACGCTGGTGTGAGGTGTAGTAACCTCCGCCGTCTTAACAAGACGTGACCTCGCTGAGGAGAGTTTCGAGAACAGAATGTTCTCATCTTAGTGGGGAAGAGTGTAACGGGGTTACATGGTGTGGAACACACAGGGGTACGAAGTACCCGGAGAGCTAACAAACTCTCAGTACATAGGTTGGAGAGTTAACAAGGTCTCTCAGTACGTTGGCCGAAAGCCACACGTTATGCATTTGATTAGGTTTAACTATGCTAGATAGCTAAACAGATACATTTACCCCTAGGCGGCTTGGCCGCAATAATAGTAAATAAAACACTTCTGGTTTTGAAGCATAAAAGTTAAGGTGTTAACTTTGAGCCCTGGTCTTGGGCTGTAAGTGTCCTTTGGATAAGGAGCTTAGTATTAGTGACTCTTTGAGTCGAACGTCTTCCTCTGACGCTAAAGCTACGGCAGCCCCGCTGCACTGTGTGCGCGTTATTTAGCATTAGTCGAAGACGCCAATGTGCACATACGTGGTAGGAGCTGTTGAAAAAAATTATAGGCCCTGGTGGCCCATATTCGGCTTAAATTGGAACTTTAGCACTTATTGGTTATAACAAATTTGTTTTTAGCTGCGTAGTACTTCTGTAATTTTTTTTAATTACAATACTTTTTGTTTAATACTATTCTAGATATCTTTCATATTTTTGCCTGCACTTATTTGTAGTAGTAGTAGTATACGTATGATAAATACTTTTCATAATGCTATTATTAATTTGTAGAACTATTAACATTTTTAACAGATGACAGTAGTGGTTGCACACACACCACTCCGTCTCCGCGAAAAAAAGCACGTTTTCCTTTGCATATGCGCGTAGTGTGCGATCCCTAGAGAATGTGCGCACTTTCCAACACGATTTGTAGCGTACATCAGATAAAATGGGAACAGCGTTTAAGATTAAGGTAGCGCGGAGGCACGTGATTAAGCAAGAGCACGAAATACGAAGGAACACAATGCCACACTATGTACACGATAGGGTAGAAGAGCAACACGAAGCACTGAAGGCCATGGACGATGATAGAAGACTTAGCCGACGCAAACCACGAAGTTGTATGCGTAGCGTGAAAGACGGAAGAGCATACAGCCATGAAAAGGACAGAAGGACAAGAATATGACGGGAGCGTACGGGCCACGGAAGGTAACTAAATATAAAGACACCCCAGCATGCTGAAACGCACAGCTACCGAAGAGCACTCACGCTCGAATCCACGGTAGAGCACGTAGCAGTAAGAGTGCACGGACAGCAATTCTCCCGTAGCACCACGATAGAACACGGAGCACAGTCGACCGACCAAACATGAAACCGCGGTAGACCATAAACGGAAGATCACCGAGCATTGGAACACTATATTAGTGTAGTACCGGAGCTCACCGAGTCCGACAACACGATACTACGGTAGCTAACGATCTCACGGACGACAGACCAACCGCGACACCACAAGTTAGCACGATAGCAGGAAATGGGCCACTAAGCCATGAGAGAACGCAGTCGCGGAGCTATAGACGGAAATCATCGAGCCGTGGATAGCGATACCAGTGTTGAACCTGAGCTTACCGAGCCACGGAGGATAGTACTACATTAGAGGACCAGCCACGAAATAAACGGGGAGGTGGGCGCTTGGGGTGACCACGACTGCACACTGTGGAGCACGATGCCATTGTAGAACACGATAGCACAGACAGCGCAGAAACTCTACGTGAGCACAATACCATAGACAGCATTACCACACCGCGATTGCACGATAGGGTGATACCGCGGTCGATGGAACCTCACCAGGAGAGCACGATACACGGGCGACGGAACAACAGGAGGGCGTGGAGGCACCAAACCACGGAACAGCACCCTTCGGCTAAAGTGATGGAAGGGCAACGACCACGAAATACTATATATCACGAAACCTGTGCAACCCACGTGAGCGTTTGAGAACAGGGAATAGTAAGCAGCCACAAAGAGGCCGTATTAAAGAGTATTTACCCAAGAGATAGCGCGCATAACCACTAAGCAGCGTGCACCACGGGTGAGGAGGACACCACGATGCCAGGAACAGCACGGAAGAGCACGGGCCACTGAAGAACATGACATTCAACCTGTAGAACGTGGTAACGGTAGCGTACCAAACCACGATATTGTACGGGACCGCATGAGACTACGGAATGGTAAGTGGTTCAAGCACACGACATCACGATGTACTGGGGTGGACGAATTCACACGCAACCTGGAAGTACAGGATCCTAAGCAAAAGCACGCGATACACCGAAGTACTAAAAGTTGCGGCCACCTCATCTCCAACAAACCATGCCACTCCGTCGCGTAGCGACGGCGGCCGGCTAGTCCTAAGCTATCAATGCTAGCACGGTGTCCGTCCGTCCGTCCGTCATACGAAACGCTCAGATGTTTTAGCCTTCCCATTGGCTGTCGAGCGGAGCAAAGGCGGCTTCAATTGGTTAAAGCTGAATTATGTAGCTTACATCAGTACATCGATGTGGTTCACAGAGCACATATGGAGATTTGCACAAGACTATCTATTATCAAAGGCGGCATCTTAAACGAAGTATTTACTTTTTTAATAATGCATGTTGCTTTTAATATTTGAGTGTTAAACAGACAGAGCTACTTATTCTCAAATGAAACAGCCCCTAAAGACGCTTCCTATGCTGCAAGGTGCTTAGTGTACACGTAGGAATGCGTGTTTTGAGGCCATACTTTATTATACGTCATACTATGTGTTTAATAGTTTCTGCAAGTTACAATGATATATAAAAGCACAGCTATTTTGTTGTAGAAATGTTAAGAAAATATCTGAGTGTGAGGTAACTGACTGAGCTGCCAAATAGTAGTACACGTACAGCAGAAGCTGGCCGTAAGAACAACACTGTGCCAATAAACGTTGTCACTTGATCCATAAAGATAAATAGTTTTCGATTGAATAAAATGAACTCATATGTGTTATTGCTGTAAACCATTTTTTTTAAGAGCTGTTTAGACAACAAAATCCAATACTACCTAACTGGCGGACGTGTCGTCGACAGGGGCGAAGGATATGATATTAAATGGAGCGGCAAGA